CATTATATGAAATGTGTTGATTCGCCTTAATCACAGAGCTAAGACATTAGTAAGATTGAAAATTTATGAGCAATAAAGTAAAACAAGTGTAGGTGATCCACTTTTAGATAACTGGACAACTGAAGACATCAATTACTTCAGAATATAATAGAAACATGTAAGTTTTTAAACCAAGTGCGCCAAAAATGCAAAATAAACTTGATGAATATTAAAATACTGATTCATACTGCCATTTCAATAATGTCATCATCAATATAGTATACAGTATGGAAATAAACAACTTTTCTCTTTAAAAAAGAGCTCGAACTTTAATTTTCAATTGTTTCTTATAAGTTTCGTTATAAAAAGCTACTAGATAACGCTTGAATACACTATGATATGGTGAAATTTTCTTACTTAGCTGGATAAGCTTTTTTATGTAGTCAAAGGATTTTAAGCGTATATGAAATCGATTACTAAATAAAAGTTGTAGTGGTCCGCAGAGTTATCCTCTTCATTCCTTTAAGTTCCAAATGGAACATGGAGGGCTTCAAGCTTTAAGCTTTGAAATTTCAGTGGCGGTAGTGTTCCTTTCACGTAGTAAGGTTGCTAGCCTCACACTGAACCTTCACTCTTTTCCGCGCTTACCACCAAACAGACGAGTTTCAGAAGTGCATCGGTCGAGGGTCGAACTCCGAACACTTTTATGACTGCAGAGCACTCTACCCCTAAACCAACGACTCACACCCGTAAAGTAATCAGTACAGTTTGTCTCTGTAACTGAAGAGAGTTAATAACGTAAGCATTACTGGCTATGATTGTCAGATTTTCAAAGCTGTATACTGCTCAGTCGTCAGTTGGTAAGTCTGACCAATCTCTTCCTCTCAGTATTATTTAAAATTTAACAATGATGAATCTAACGCTAGGCAAAGTTAAAATGATTTGGTGTAAATAACAAGCTAACAGTTTACTTCTCAACCTCTCGAAAATTCCCAATATTGTACGCTTATAAAAAGAAGGCATTCACATGATTTCATGTATTGTTCACTCTTCTTTTCACCCAATGTAGACAACTAACTATCTCGCTGAATGGAAACATTTTTCTATTCTGTCTGCGCTGATATTGCTTGAACATAATGCATTTGGTGATTTTATTTTCGTAGATAGTGATTAACAATAGAATCACTCTGGATGCGCATTTCATAATATTTGAGACTCCTCAACCGTCTATACCTGCAGTCGCCAGTCAGTAATACTGTTCCCACTGAAACACGTACCCTGTATCTATTGATTTAAATGCCAAAGTATTATCCACTAGGCCACAAGGGCATGTAGATCCGCCTCTCATGCAACGTGTATTGGGTATTATTTGTTTTTAGGTTTATTTTTACCGAAGTGCTAGATCTATATTTCAGGTACGAGTCCCTATCAAGACGCAATACTAATCCTGAATTCCACTGCTAGTCACCATCAGCCAAAATAACACCAAGTTAATCCTCAGACATTATCAAAGCGTCTGATTTAGTAGCCGACATGTCAACTGAGCCTGAATATTTCCTTCCAATGTAATCAATAAACAGGAAATATAAACTAAAGATGAATGCTTGGCGATGAGTTTTACTTTAAAGTTCAGGTTTATGTGCACATTTTAAAAACAGTCTAATTAATGTACAGGTGGCCAAATGAATTAGTAAAACAATCATCAATGTTAACCTGTACATAATTCATTTAGTTTAGTAATATAATGCTTATACTTTTATGAATGTAAAAAGTATTTTCACAGGCTAATGGAATTCATGCCATTCATGTATTTAAAACATCTGAATATAAAAAACACTCATAAGCTATATGTTATTCAAATCAACTCCTAATGTTTAATAGTAGAATTTACTCATTATATTTAATAACCACTATTAATATATATGAACTGTGACATTGAATAAGTTGAAGGCCGAAACAAGCAAAATGTTACAGTCAATAAAAGACTGCATATATGGGTGAATCCCAACAGTTTGAACAGACGTGAAGGTGTGATGCTAGCTGATGCATGGCAAATCCTGACTGATAAATAAAAATTAGATGTGTATCAACAATTAGTCATACTTGGTCAAATCCCCGATTGTCTACGTCTTCTTATGAAGAGAATTACAAATGTTTTATGACTGTTCACACACACATACACACACACACCATTGTATACTGCATATACACATATATTTTAACAAAAGTAGACTAATTTTGGAAGTCTGAGGTCAAATTTTGATCACAGTTCATACAATTTTTGTTTATTATGCATGTTGATACCTGTTTCATAATTCATATGACTGGACCAGAATTACTTAAGAAAGATGTGTGAGACTGCAGAGTCCCAGAACCCGATAATTCAAAAGACAACTGACGCCAAAAACAATTCTATTTTTACACAGTAATTTTACAAGGTAGATAGAAGGGTAGAAAGTACTCATAGTTTTCAGGAGTCTATCATTTATTATTCATCTGCACTATGTGTGCTCAGTGTAAGTTTGATGTAGTGATTTGCAGCTTCAGTTAAGTTCATAAGCTATTAAATTCAAGTGTACTTCAGAATTACAAGATAGAAACAGTGTCCCCCACAATCAGAAAGCAACACCATGGACAAGTTATCCCAGTTTGGCAACAGAGTTACGCTCAACTGTTGTTTCTCATAACTTCCATTCTTGTAGACAACAAATAACTTCACATTTTGACGAAATGTAGCCAAGAAAGCGGTATGAATATTACTGATGAGATGAACTATGGATTTGATTCCGCGTTATTTCGATGGCAAATTTTTTAATATGTTGGATTCATTTCAAACAAATCTCCGTGCCTATGTAAGTAAATATTGAGATGTTTTAGCTGGTGGTTCAGATGATCAAGAAAAACATGCCCTTGTGGTCTGTATTCATCTCTGAAATATATTACTGGGCAACAGTAAAGTATAGACACCAAACTCGGCCTACCTTGAAATAAACAATCAGATTCTCTTAGGTGGAAAGTGGCATATAATTTTTAAAAGTTTATTTATAATATACAAGTGTAATAAAAACGAATTAGACGGGGTACATAACCCTAATATGCTACAGAATTTGTTCACAGTTCCTCATAGGAGTGGTTACAGACATATCAAGCCACTGTCAATGAAAACACTCATCTAAGTCGCTATATACCATATCACTTCGGTAACCATTTACAATTCTAATACGTTTTTTCAAGTGTACCCAGAACCCTTCAATAGAATTTGTATGAGTCCCACTTATAGGATCCATATGCATGTATTTAGTCCTGTCTATAAACCTATTTTCCACACAGCAGTCAAAAACCAAATCTGGGTGAAACTTGCAACTAAGATCATGGACAGCATACATTTGTAATACTGAATTATCTGATTGGTTGCTTCAAGGTCATTTGGCTTTAGTGTAGATTGTTTACTCTTTCTGAATACTTTGTCCACCCGCTGTAATTCCAAAAACGCAGACATGATTTGATTGGGAATAACCTTTTTGTATCGTTCCCTGATTAGTTCTTGTAAGTCAGCTTTTGAAAGACTTTTTTGATGATTATGATACTTTAACTTCGTTATAGCAATCAATTTTTATTGTTAATGAAACTTTATGAGATTTGCAGTTCATCTTGGAGTGGAGGATGGAAGTGGATTCCTCCCTTTTCTTCATATACCCCAGATGATTAATTATTTATGATTCATCTTATTCATTTCTTTGTAAAAAGGTTCTATTAATAAGTACTAGTAAGTAAATAGTGTGTTTAGAAGAAAACAGATCTTTTCAGCGATTTCATTTGACTAAAGGTAAACGACATATTTCTGTGGTATTCAAATACACTGGAATAAGCGCGTTCAAACACTAGTTCATTCCTTTAAACGACTTATCAATATGTTTACAGTCAGATTCTCACTTTTAAACATAGTTACAATTATTATTTAAATTAAGGTAGTAGGAAGACTGAAGGAGATAACTTCCAACTTGATATGAAAGTATGAAGTTGTATATATTGACCGAAAGGATCATAGAAATAAAATTACATACGATTAGGTAATAGCTGAGTAGTTTATAAAATAGATTTAAAGAAACCGATGTGGATGGGATGAGCATATAAACAAATCGAAAAATACTTTTTATAAATGAAGATGAAAAAGTAAGTGGAATGTAAAAATTATAAATAAGGAGCCAAACATGGAACCAGTTCTGTTTTCAATACTGCACAAACGAAATTGAAGATAGACTACAGGCTGAAAATAATTCTCTGAGGTGAGATGAAGTTGTTTACGATGCCAACTTGAAACCAGTCTTTCACCAAAGTTCATTGGCTTGCATTGAAGATGAAGTACTGTTAAATTAAGTATTATGGTGTTATGTTGTCAGTCTACTTCTTCTGAACTAAATCGGTGGATGGTGACTAGTTGTGGGATCCGGGCCCCTCATCTCTTCCCATCTGGGACTCGTCATCTGGATGTGCCTCCACTTCCCAGTGATTGATAGTGTTCCCACTGAGGCTCGAACCCAGTGCCCATGGTTTCAAACACCAAAGCGTTATCAACTAAACCACTTGGGCGACGAGAACCACCTCTTGTGCAATGGGTATCAGTAATTACTTAGTTCACCATTCATCGGGTAATGCAGGCACATCCACATGACGAGTCCTAGGTAGGACGAAATGCACGGCCTAAATTAAGCTGCTGCTCACCAACCGCCAATTCACCTCAAATTAATAATCAAGCGTTGCCAAAGCATATGCAGAAGCAGCCGACATGTCAACCTGGGGCCAAGCACTTTGGGCCAATTGAACGTTTCTACAATTACATTGTTTATACAGTAATCAGTGGTTATATACCATAACCAGCGATACATATCTTGTTGTATATACGAATGAAAACTAGGTAGTGAAGATTAAGTTATATTTTCAAGTAGTGGTTGTCAAATCATACATTATTTACATGATGCAGGATCGATAGAATCCAAGTTGATAATATTATGACAGGTAGTGTAATGTGTGTATGTGTGTGTACGAGATTACGGCAACAGTGTACACTTACTGTAATTATCTACGACCAAGATGACCTATTTCATATCAACAGATGAGTGTGTGTATGTGTGGATGGGTGAATGTGTGTAGTGGGAGCAGTATTTAATGCATCCAGACGCTTAAAAGTGGTGCGAAAAATACAAATTACACAGAAAAGTGACAAATTCATGTTTTATCATTGTTTATCGTCCTATTTTAAGTTATAAATAAATATAGAAGTTGCAAATGTAATCAAACTGAAATTTCATTTGGTATAAAACAGTCTGTATATTTATCATCAATGTTTCACAAATTCCTTCTAATTTGGATACTGTTGTACTATGGCTTTGGTCGAGTTGTTTATGGAGACGAAAAAAGTGAGTCTAATCAAGTTTACTTACTTGTATCCAATGTATATATACATATTACACATGTAATTCAACTTTCCTAAATAAGAATCTGTTCACATTTGAACTGAGAAATCTTTGTGAGTTATATACCGTTCACTTATTTGGTGGGGGGGGTGGTAAATTTCCATTGAAGTACTATATGTTATCTTTAATATTTGGCTACCATATCGAAAAATAGTCACAGAGGTAAATTGCATTAATGCAGTTGCAACCGTAATGAGTTGTTACAGTGAAAATGACATCCATAGATCGCTTTGAATGTGCAGAAATACCACCATATTTTATGCACGGATTCCTTTTAATGACTCCAAATAAAGTAAGAATGTGAGATATAAACGCGTGTTATCCATGGATGTATGGTCACTATTCACTAATGTACCGCTTACGGAAATAGTAGATTACATTTGTCAAGCAATCTCCAAAAGGTAATTGGACTTATGAATCCCCTTGTGTAGCCTCATCGAATTACTTCTCAAATGCACAATGAATGTTCACTTTGTCTTCAATAATTCATACTACCGACAAGTAGATGGAATAGCCATGGGTTCACCATTAGGCCCAATATTAGCTGACTTCTTTCTCGCAAAACTTGAAAATGGGAAATTGAAAGACATCATCAAGGAGTTTGATATTTATTACCGATATGTAGATGATACATTTATCGTAGCTGATGGGAATGTTAACACAGACGAATTGTTGCTGAAATTCAACAAACTCCACCCTTTGCTTACTTTTACTTGTGAAGAGGAGCAGGAGAATAAACTACATCTTATGGATGTCTTGCTTGTAATCACAAGTCGTGTGATTACAATTGATATGATTATGAACAATACATTTTGTTCGAAACGTCATCCAGTAAATAACACTTTTTCACTGTGTGATATATCTAATAAACAAACTGATATGGAAGTATGTTTGTCATTCTCAAGTCGATAAATCATCGGGACGCAAGCGAAGGATAAGCTAGATAGTTCTGCCACATCTATGTGCATAAATCAATTCAACTCCACCTGCGGTGACAGTTATGTTATGCGTACTATTAGACAGCTTAGCCAATGTATTAGTGAACATCTCCCATCGTAGTTTGGCAAAGGACAGACAAAGACAGTCCGTAGCTCAATTTTGTCACATTTATTTGATAGTGGTCATGTAGTGCAGAAAACGAGAGCTTTCAAAGTAATTCATCGTACCCCACCAAATCTTTCCAATAGACTTCGTATTCGTTTACTGCGCACAGCTGAAGCGATAGGCATTCAAACTATTAAACCTAAACTATGCAATCAAAAGAAGTTCGTACAGCCATTATCCCTCCCTTGGCCTATAAAGACATAACCAACTAATGAATTCTACACCACCCCTTATTTATATTTTCAACCCCTTTCTTATCATCCCTTCATTTTATCACATCTTCATTAAAAACGTGTTTAATTTACTTCTCTTACAATCTAGCATTACTTAATTGGTTCATGTGTTTTTACTAGCCTTTATCGACTACTTCCACCTGAACATTTGTTTGTTTGATCATGCTGTTTTTCATTATTCGTGTTATCACAGATTGCCTCACTTTTTCATCCTTATTATTGATAAAACTATTATTATAACTACTACTACTATTATTATGACTAATTGCACAATTTATATTCACCATCTTAATATCCTATAGACAAAAACACCATGATCGGTTTATATTTGAATTTTATTTGTAAACTTATATATATTAAAGTTAAGCCTGATGAGATCTAATTGAAAACAGTATTGTTCGCCTAAATGTGCTGTTCTAAATTTTACGATGGGTATATATAATATATTTCAGTGTTGACAATATGACTTTTATGGCCTAATTCTATAACGTGTGAATAAATATTTACTTTGCACAATCATCTAAGCCACTTTCCGAGTCTAATGAAGACGAGTTAGATAACATAGGTCTAAAGTTGGCATATTTTGCTTTGCTTTATGTGTGTTCGTAGAAAGCCGTAAGACTTCTTCACAGACGAAACTTAGGATTCCCGTCACCTTTAAGCAGATCACGTTTTAGTAATCTTAAGTACATGGTTTTCGGTTCATGGTCTACGGGAATTACTAAGTGTCTGCTCAGTTTCATTTCCACAGATCTAACACCGTGTATTTGCCAATGAAAGATAAAGCAGATGTGACATATAACTTTTTTCTTTGCATTCTTCTGGAATTCACAACTTAGTGAATTTTCTTTAATAACGTCTGAGTAAGGTTTGTGTAATATATGTAAATAACCGATACATTGGATAAATGAATATATTTTCTATGTACAAACCCTGAGCTGATGACTTTTCCGTTTAACTATTAAGTACTGGAGAGTCAAGTGTCACCGGCAAGAACTGGTAGTCAATTATGATTTCTTGTAGATAATATGTAGTCCAGTTTGAGATATCTCTAGTTCATAACCGAAATATGAAGAAAACCTGATACTGTGATAGGCCGAGAATTCTTCCACTTATTTTATGATCATTGTACATTGTACGACTGAGTCATTTGAGATACCAGTAATAAGAATTTGTAGTGTCAATGATACTCCAAAACAAAGTGCCCTATTAAATAATTCAGGGTTTATTTTACGACATGCAGAGGAGTTTCTACTCATTTCTCGACAAATTTTATATTAAGCTGCCCCAATTCTTCTTTCTGTCTTGTTGTAACGTTTGTCAGCTTAAGTTGATGCATTTTACTGACAGGCTCTCTGCTAAACTGTTACATTTTAATCAGTCTAGATACTTGTAGCTACTGCTTTTAACTTTAAGCATACAGAGGATAGTATGCCCTGTTTGAAAAACCACTGAGAGCCAAATTCTCAGTGTTTGGGTATATATTTCATGGATTCTATTTGGATCGTCAACTGTACACCCTATGGTTTATATTTACAGAACCAATCCGATAGGAAGTCCAATGACTGTTTTCTTTCCGAAATCCACGTAGAGGCACGACATAGGCCATATTGATATTCTGGGGAATGTTACTCAAATTTAAACACTTCTACAAAAGTCAAAACCATATGGAGAGTTAAATTTGCATCATTATAAAGGTTTCTCTAGTTCTCAGAGAATGAAAAACCAAAATGATATTTTCACCGACGTCTCGCTATTTAAGGCTGCTAGTAGCTTTATCAAAGTATTATTAAACCAGAATTTACAGAATTATATATACCAACTATATCATCGTTCTTCAGCATGAGGTAACTTTTACGTCGCCAAGTGGGTGAAATAATAAAGATAACAAACCATGTACAGATTGTTAGATTTGATAAGTTTACAAAATTATAAAAGCATCACTTGTTTACAAAATGAAGCTGTTTATCACATTTATGCTGATTTAGTCACTTCATCGGCGTGGGTGAGTGGATGTTGAAACTAGGTCAAATTCTGTCATAGTACATCATACCTACTGAGACAATTTGGATTCAATTTGATATTAACTACTTCTGATGTTAAAGGCTTTTTTCATTTCTGAAATTTTTCTGGATTATTTCAGTGTGACCAAACCAATACAATTGTGATAAGCGATGCAATATAAGCATGTCTAGAACTTTCCTAACGAATATGACTTTATCACAAATTCAAAGATTGTGCATATTGACAGAACAACTGAAAAGCACAAATTGGTGTTGAAGCCAGTTTGTACACATTAAAATAAAGTCTGTAAACACTGGGATTGGCATTCCACAGTTATCAAATCTAGTAATCCGTACATGGCTTGCTATCTTTATTATTTCACCCACTTGGCGACGTAAAAATTACCTCATGCTGAAGAACGATGATATAGTTGGTATATATAATTCTGTAAATTCTGGTTTAATAATACTTCGATAAAGCTACTAGCAGCCCTAAATAGCGGAACGTCAGTAAAAGCAATACTATTTTGAAATAAAGTATAATTATATTTTAATAGTTTACACAATGATAAGTTTTTGTTATTGGTAATATTTCGAGCAAAATTACCAATAACAAAAACTTATCATTGTGTGTAAACTATTAAAATATAATTATACTTTATTTGATCTAATCCACAATGCTCAAACTTTTTACTAATATTAATACTATTTTGATTTTCATTCATTGGGAGATACAAAAACCTTTTATAACAATGAATATAATAATAATGAATTCCTAAATTTTCTGAAACTGTTAAAAGTGGACTTGGATGGGATATATGTTCTACTTGCTTAATATTTCGTATAAAAGAAAGGGCGTTCAGCGAAGAGTTAGTCTTTTCGATGATATCATTCTGAAGCTGTACAGTTGCATATATGTAAATAGTAAATTATCATAGCAACAAAAAGTATATTTCACGAGATGTGTCATTGAAGTCGTAAGTTTTAGATAACAAATTACGCAATGTAGAAAGCGTTTATCGGGTAAGAACTAAAACAAAATTAAATAAGTTGAGTGAGGTAATATACCCGACGGGATTGAGTAGATTGCAAATAAAATTTGGTGTTAAGATGGACCTGGTGTCTCTTATATATATATATATATATATATATATATATATATATATATATATATATATATATATATATATATATATATATATATATATATGCAACTGTACAGCTTCAGAATGATACCACCCATAAGAGTAAATCTTCGTCGAACACCTTTTCTTTCAAATGACTCAATTCGAAGTTACAAGTTATTTGTATATATTTATATATAAACCATGGTTATTCTTAATGATTATTCCACATTTTATCCCCAATTAACTAAATCACTACGTTAAAACTGTAGTAGAACTATTTAATTTGGTCATTTAGGTTATTTGCAACTGAAAATCTACCAAGTGACGAAATAAACTACGAATCTGTTTTTTTTAAAATTCCTTTACGTTCCCAGTGGAACGTAAGGCTTCAAGCTAAAGGCTTGAAGGTTCGGTAGCAGTTGTATGTTCATTTTTGCCGGATGGGGTTTCTAGCCTTATGCCTAACCTTCCCTCTT